CAGTAATAATGACGAATAACAACAATGATTTACAGAACGGAATGCAACGACTTAATGAATGCTGTCATGAATACGAACTAAAGATGAATGTGAAAAAGACTAAATGTATGATCATGACTAAATCAACAGATGCCAACATCCAATTGATTGTTGAAGATAGTGTAATTGAGAATTAGGAACAAATTACAAACGTACAAATACTTAGGAACATGGATAACATTAAGACACGTACATTAGGACACGGATTGAGATAGCACGTGCACAAGTTAAAGCTTCTTTGTTGTCGGCATATAAGGTTAGGACTACGCCTAAGAATGCTTTGGTGTTATGTATTCACTACCCTCCTTTATGTCTTGGAAGCATGTACATTAAAACAACTGCATCGAAATAAGTTGGCTGCTTTTGAATTTTGGTGTCACAGAAGAATCCTACGAATATTATGGACTCAAAGAATGTCAAACGCAGAAGTTACTAGAAGAATAGGAATTGAAGCTAAAGTAGTATTGACTATCAAAAGAAGAAAATTTGAGTGTTTAGGCTATGTTATGAGAGGGCAAAGATACTCATTTTTGCAGCTTATTATGCAAGGCAAAATTCGAGAAAAGAGAACTATGGGAAGACGAAGAATATCATGACTTAAGAACTTGAGGAAATGGTTTGAATGCAGTAGTGCAGAATTGTTTAGAGCATCACTCAACAGAGCACGTATAGCCATGATGATTTCCAACCTTCGATAGAAGATGGAACTTAAAGAAGAAAAAGAAAAGTGTTCATCTGAAGTGCCCTCTTCTTGATTTGCTACTTGAATTACCTTGTCAAAGTCCGTGTCCCCTTCCCTCAAGAAAAAGGAAAGGCATAGATTGCAGCTTTATATTAAACAGAATGTTTTATGATGTATAAAATCACATCAATGTTAAATAAATTGAACGTGATTAATGTTCCTTTAACAATTTTCTACAAACTTAATCCAATAACAATATGCTCAATAATCCTTTACGGTAAATTTTCGTCGCCATATTTTAAGGGAACCTATTTTAGCGGCATATTTTTAAGAAAGTCTTGTTAGAGTCAAATATAGTATTAAGCAAGTTTCACATACAAATGACAGATAGTAACGACATATAATAATTCGAGGAGAAAATACGTCAATTAGGACTGTTAAAAATTATATACACGAAAGGAAAAAAGTAACACTTTAATTGTATATAAGAATTTATTTTCCTATTCAGCCATTAGCATCTAGCACAGGATACATCGGTCCACCATTACTTTCTATTCACGATCTTATTCGTGATCTTCCACTCAGGCGCTTTATTTTTCTTTGAATTCTAACATATAATTATATTTTTTTATCTGTCTTTATTTTATCTCAGGATATGGGTTTTATTAGAGATTCGTCTACCTCTTTATGGTGGAATAATATGATATAAAGCATCTTATTCTATTACTTCGTATATACTGGCTAATTTTTTAAGTATTTTTTAATCGTTCAGATTTGCAAATTACATACTATGTATAAAGTAAGCTCTTTATGTTCTGCTATACGCTTAATAAAAGTTTTACCAGATTGGCCGATGTTTGTTTTTGAGCCGCCATATTTAAATTTGTATTCAGCACTGTGTGAATGCTTTTCTTTTGGCGCTTGTTGTTCTTAATATGTTGTTTGAATTGTGTGTTCTAAAATCTGGTGTTATTGTTTTCTATTTTGTGTGTGGCTATTTTTGTTAGTACTTTTCTATATTTTAGTGGGCTGTGGGTTTAAAACATTGAGGTATTTGTGTTATATTGAATTAAATATTGATTTTGAATTTTCTAACTCCAGTTTTGCTCTTTAATACTTTTCCTTCGGATCTTTGTATATTGTTAATATTTTATAATTTAAAAATTCTATTGTTTTTTTTTATATTCTGTTATATGTATAGCAATAGTAGTGTTACCTTTGTCTGCTTAACAATATTTTGTTTTCTATTGATTTATTTTTTATTGATTGGTTGTTTTATCTCTTTGTGATAGTTTTATAATTGTTATTGTTGTATAATATTTAATCTCTTTTTAGTTTAACTACACATATCGTTTATCGATTTTGCAATTATAGCTTTTTCTACAGATAACGACATTGTTTTGTTAACCATAGGAATTAAGATTTATTACAATCCCATGTCTAGAGTATATTTATTATATTGTTCTAAAACCAATTTTTTTGGTTATTTTTTAGCCTTAATATAAATACAAATAAATAAGTAAGTAAATAAGTAATATGCTTTATCGTCACTGAAAATTGTACAAATTGTATAGCCAAAGTTTTTAACAATAAGACAAGAAAGAAGAAAAAATAATCAGAATAAGAATCGTTTGTACTTTTTAAATAAAAAAACAATAAAATTCTTCCAAACTTAAACATAAAAACTACTACCTAATTAAGAATTTACAAACTTCGTAAAATGTACCTAACATCTTGATTTATGTCAAGATATCTTTGAGACATAACGTTCAGTGCAAACAACGCCTCTCTTGTTCCGAGTCCATTTCGGAATCCAAACTGGGTATTATTGATGTCGTCCATTTCCAGTTTTCGGTGTACTCTAGAATGTATAATTTTTAGGAATATTTTCAGTACATGACTCATCAGACTGATTGTACGGTAATCACTACATTGTTTGGCATTTATCTTTTTTGGTATAATAACAATGGTGGATGAAAGCCATTCTTGTGGTATTTTTCCTGATGTATAAATGCTATTGAAAAGTTCAACTAAAATGTGAATCGAGTCTTTTTCTATTAGTTTAAGGATTTCCGTTGGTATTTCATCTGGACCTGGGGCTTTACCATTTTTCATTCTTTTTAGTGTGTACATTACTTCCTCTTTCGTTATTTCTGGACCTTCGCCTTCTTGTATGTTACTTAGCTCAGATTGTTGTCTATCATTTGCAAAGAGTTCTTCAATATAGTTTTTCCATGTCTTCAACTGTTCTTCTAGTTCTGTTATTATGTTTTCGTTGACATTATACAGGGTATTTGGCTACTTACGTTTTTGTGTACCTGCAAGTTCTTTCACTTTTTTATGTACATTAAAAATATCATGTTTTGCCTGCAATTGCTCTATTTCTTCACATTTTCTTTTATAAAAATCTTCTTTTGCTATTCTGATTTCTATTTTGATTTCTTTCTGTATTTGTTTATACCTTTGTTCGTTTTTTTCCTTTCATTATTCTCCGATTGTCCATGAGAAGAAGGATCTTATCAGTCATTTACTTTTGCTTTATGTTTGGTTTTTCTTCAGTCAGAATTTCCTTCGAAGGACCTGTTATCGCCATTTTTACGTTTTGCCATTTTTTATCTATGTTGTTTGGTGGCTGAGATGTTTCTTTTTTATGAAGTATTTTCAAATTATTATTAATACATTTTTGCAGTTTCTCCTTTACCTCCAGGTTACATAAATAACTGACGTCTATCTGATTTGCTTTTCTTTTCTGCTCCAATCTTTTTACTTTAATACTCATTTGCTCTATCAGAGAATTATGGTCTGAAAAGACATCTGCGCCTGGATAAGCTTTAACAGATTTTAAGGAGTTTATATATCGTTCGTTTATCAGTAAAAAATCAGTCTGGTTTCGAGTTATTCTTTCGCCATTGTCCTGGGTGATTTCTACGTATAAAGTCTTCTCTTTGGTAAGTTGAAGAATGTATTAGATACAATCATGTTATTCTCCTGGCAGAATTGAAGTAGTCTGTCACCTCGTTCATTTCTTTCACCGAGTCCGTATTCTCCTACATGTTTTCCACTTTTTCCTTTACCAATTTTTAAGTTAAAATCACCTAAAATTACGGTGATGTCTCGTGGTTTCGTCGATTTTAATACTTGATTGATTTCTTCGTAGAATTGTTCAATTTCGTCCTCGGATTTATCTGCAGTAGGTGCATAGATCTGTATGATATTAAGTAAAGCAGTAATACCCATTATTTTTGAAAACTCGCTGGACAGTTTGAGCATTCACGTTAAGTTCCCTAGCAATTTGTACACTCTTGCATGGTTCACTAGCTTACACAAAAGCACAAATATCAATATCCCTGTTTTGACGCTTCTCATCTTCATGACACTTTTTACAACTGTTTGCATATCGCGAAGTTTAAAAATGTTTAATGGTATTTTTAACTTGGTGTGGGTATATTTTCTAAGACAACAATAAATAAATCAATTACTTCGCTTATCGGATGACCCTGAAAGTACCATATTACAAGTTGTACTTTTTCTTGGACGGTATACAACGTAATAGGCATTTTATTAATTATTTGTTTATTCTTTCAGAATTTCGTTTGAAATTTTTAATGTTAATGTGACAATTACGACAATTTATACCTACTCTAAAATGAATATAGAGGTGGAAATGTGTAACATGTCACAGCGATTGCCATTGTGTTGTATGGTCAATAAAACAATATCGTGTTCTGTATATTGTTGGCAGTTTTGTTTAACGCTACCAAAGTTAAATTTTTTAAAGTTTTTTTATTATATTGTTAATGCATGCTGTGTTTAAATTTTTTTCTCTAAAAGTTGTATCTTGTTATTACTGAATTTAGTACCTGTTAAATTTATAAATCTATTGAAAAACTTATGCATCAAAAAACTTTTTGTATAAAGAATATTGGGTTTTTTACTATAGCAAATCAGATTACTTAGTTTTTTACACTGTGTGTTGAATTTTTTATCTATTATATTATCTACTTTAATTCTTAAGTTAAAGTCTAGGATGTTGAATTCTATATTATTTAACCTATAATGCAATTCTGAATTACAGAACTTAATATAAACAGCTCATAACTGTTGTACTATTGTTCATACTATTTTTCAGTTTAAAAATATTTATTCAGTTTTATTCCTTCAAACATACAAAATAAATCTTATACTCTTATAATAAGCTAATTATACAATTTTGCATAAACCAATTGTGTACCATAAATAAAAACTACATATAACTAATTATTATTTCTTTTGTTTCCAGATATCGATAGTGACCCCAATAGCGCCCCAAGCTGCGACCCTGCAGTATGCGTTCTCCCCGATTGTTTCTGCTCAGAAGACGGTACAGCCATTCCTAATGATTTACCAGCCAAAGATGTACCTCAAATGATAACTATCACATTCGACGACGCCATAAATAATAACAACATCGGCCTATACAAGAATATTTTCAGCGGTGAACGGAAAAACCCCAACGGTTGTCACATCAAGGCCACATTCTTTGTTTCTCACAAGTACACCAACTACTCGGCCGTCCAAGAAATGCATAGAAAAGGTCACGAAATCGCAGTACACTCTATATCGTAAGTCTAACATAATTTTAATTTCATATTCTAATACTTTTTATTTAAAACCTCGTTTATGACAACATAAGTTATTCTTAGAAATATTTCCACGCGTCCTTTTGCGTCTTTGTCTGAGGAAAAGTTTTAAATATATTGCTGAATATTTTAATGCTCAACTTCATTCACGAACAAAAAATTGTTAAATATCACATTATAATAATTATACATTATATACAAAGTTCTTTTTCGTTTATATTTTATTTAAAGTACTTTTTAGTTTATTACCAACAAATAGTGCTAATATACATCATCATTTTTATGTCACCAAATATAAAAATGTCAAAGTCTGTTAATTAAAAAGTACTACCAACAAAACAAAAGGTTACAGGAGACTCGAAATTTGGCTAGATAATTAAAACCAAAAATAAGAGTTCAGTTTAGCAAAATTTTGTGAAGAACAATAATTATTCCCGATATTTTATTAATGTTGCTCCAATTAAAATGAAAAAGTTATTTTAAATAGAAAATTATGTATATGTAGGTTTTCCCATTATATCAAAGATGAAAAATCTGGAAAGTCATATAAGTATCAAATATAAAGATATATTAAACCAAGTATACATAAAGGGTATTTTTTTAGAGGTATGGAGATGTAAGTTTGTAACACTTTTTTAACTGTCGGCCATTTTGACAGCTGTCAAATGATTTATGTTAGGTTTAGTTTGGAATTTTAGCATGAATAGACTTGACGCCCAAACAACGCTTCCAAATTGTACAAATTTGTCTTCAAAATTGTCGTTGGTTATTCTGTCTCGCAGAGTTATTCCTAACATGGACCGCTCCATTCTTCTCTGCGTGACTCTCAGTTTGGTAGCTGCTGCTTTTGTTAAGGTAAGTGTTTCTGTTCCGTGCTTCAAGACTGGGAGGACGCACTGATCAAATACCTTTCTCTTTACGCATGTAGGCAGCTCACTTTTAAAAGTTTCTCTCAGTTTTCCAAATACTGCCCACCCAAGGTCGATTCTTCTCTTCAGTTCATGAGTCTGGTTATCCCTGCCAATCATAATTTCATGTCCCAGGTATTTATATCTATCTACGAGTTCTATTTCTTTTCCACCAATACTGATGTTCTGGTTGGGTACCAAATTGGTCATGATTTTTGTTTTCGAGATATTTATATTTAAACCTACATTTTCTGTAGCCATAACGAGTTCCTGTACCATCTCTCTTGCCATACCTAGATCTTCAGCTATTATAAATATATCATCGGCGAAACGTAAGTTGTTTAGATATTCTCCATCTATTTTTATTTCCTTTGTCATCCAATCCAAATTCTTAAAAGCATGTTCTAGCACCGTATTAAAAAGTTAAGGTGACATTGGGTCTCCTTGTCTAACCCCCCGTTCTATTTTTATGCGATTACTGTTAGTATGTAATCTGACAGTGGTTGTTGCCTGCAGGTATATTTTGTATAATAATTTAGTATATTTTATATACTAAATTATTTATAATATTTTGCTTAGCTTAACTGTGTCAAAGGCTTTGTGAAAATCGATAAATATTAGAACTAGAGGTTTATTGTATTTCACTTCTTTCTCTATTAGGGTTTTTATACTTTGTAGATGGTCATTTGTTCCGTAACTTCTTCGGAATCCTGCCAGTTCCCTTGGTTGATAAGTCTTTAATTTTTCTTTCCATTCTCTTAACTAGTATTCGCGTAAACAACTTTATATATATATATATATATATATATATATATATATATATATATATATATATATGGCTGAGGAGGCTAATCGGTATGTAATTCTCTAAATTTGCTTTGTCTCCTGCTTTGTGTAATAGAATCATAGTAGCGTTGTTCCATGCTATATTGAAAAGTTGGTTAATTTTTTCAAGTAATACATCCCCTCCAATTTTTAGTGCTTCTAATACTATTCCATCTTTAACCGGGGTTCAATTATTTTTCATTTTCTTTAGGGCTTCTTTGATTTCTGATTTTGTTATATCGGGCATTAAATCTGATCATTGGTTTAATACCCCAGTTTTTAGTGTAGTTGGAGGTTCCGTATTGTTATTTTTTTTTCTTGATCTATATAACTCTTTGTAGAACTCTTCGACCATTCTTAATATTTCATCTCTGTTCGTTGTTTCTTCTCCAGCTCTGTTTCTCAGTTTGTTAATTTCTATAGATAGATTTAGCTAATCTCTTGACCACATCTACTGGTTAATTGCTGACACGAAATGGACCTTCAGGCTGCAGTCTTGAATAAATTTCCATATTATCTGTGTAAAATAGCTTAGAATTATCCATGGAAAAAATTTTAATCCCATATTTGTTAGGTTTTGATATGATATATTGCAAACATCTCGTCTATAGTTACGTTTTGTCCCATAGAGTATCCTTTTTTGCAATTTTCTACAAATAGTGAAAAGATTTGTCTAACAGCTGACAACCTATCAATCTTTAGTCGATCTGATCGAGTAGTCTTGCGATCGAATCTTATACAGTTTTGAATAATTTTGAATCTTCGCATTGACATCGTAAGTCCGAATAATTCAATTCCACTACCATCTATTTCCCATAAATCTTTCAAATTTAGTCGATTACTGCGGTGGCATAATACTTTGTTTCTATCGCCTAATTTTATTTCCGTTTACTGGCTTTTTCCCTACTTTGTTACTTTGTCTGTTCCGAAAAAACACTCTCCGTTTTTATATACGTTCTCTTTTCTCTCTTTACTAGAAATGTCTTGTTCGCTGTCCGAGTTTTCTGAGCATTCTTCGACATAATCGATTTCGTCCACGGCACTTTCGTTTTTAAACTCATTTCTTTCATTTCCATCCTCAGAATCGAGAAACATACTGTGAAGCTCTTTAACATCCTTTGGATCATCCAACTTATATAACATTTTCGACATTATGAATATTATACAGATCACACAACGAAATAAACACGGAAAAATATAGGTTCGATATGCGAGGGCGCGGTTTTTGTCAGATATCATACAACTGTTGTTCGGTTACAACAAACGTTCCCTAGCAAGCAATTTATTAAACCCAGTCTATGAGAAATGTTCACCCCTAAGAATTACGATCGGGTGTAACAATTCATTGGAGCAAGGTGTGGTAACTCGAGTATAAACAGGAGTCACCCTACCGTGCTCCAATGCTCTAGACCATCTCTTTCCCTCCTATAGCACTCTGATGCACTATAGAGGCACAACAATCAGCCAAATGCTCATTATGTGGAGGTCCTGGGTAATAGAACCCCAACATGGTTTTCTAACCGAATGCAAAAACTTAGCACAGCACATCTCCGCTATATTCCTGTTATCTTAATACATAAGGTAGCTTATCCGCGAACTAAAATTGCTTACTTGGGTCTCAAGTCTCCGCTCTGAGTCCCGGCTCAGTTCGGCGACTTGGTGCTCAAGGGGTTGGGTCCTACGTGCTTGGGTTTTGGGGTTTTGTTAATTTTGTTGGTGGCCGAAGCCGGTTTTCGTTAGTAATTTTTTTTGATGGCCAAAGCCGGTTTTTTGTGTTTTTTTGTTGATTTTTTTTTGTAGGTGGCCCTGTGAACAAAAATCAGAATTAGTATATAGTCTATATTATAATAATGAAAATATAAAACAATATTATACAATACCACAATACAGATTCTATCCTTGTATGGGCAACTGGGCCCACTATGTGTTTGGCGATATGCGGTATCCTGGGTGTTTTGAGCTAAGAACTATCTTCCTTGTGTTTTCTAATTTGATTTTTGGAATGTCTTCTGGCTACGGTGTTTTTTAGGGTTTCGTTTCCATATGGAGGGGGTTTAATTCCCTCTCTGGTATTTTATTTTAGTCTTCTATCTGTTGTTTTGGTCTTTTGTGCTTTCATCTGTAGAAAGCGTCATACCTCAAAATCTCTCTTAGTACAAACGTTCACCTTTCAACCGCTAGAAATTAAATACCTGAAAGCCGAAGTTGTGTGTTTCCCCACTTCTAAGACATAAATGTGAAGCTAGACAGTGCTGTAAAATTATGCGATGCACTTCTTTCAAAATATATTTAAAAATATTTTCAGTGTATCCCTCAGATCAGCCGCGACTTTCGGAGGGTTAAAACAGCCTTCAATTTATGTCGCTAGAATATTCTGATACAAAAAATCGTATTTTTGCCATCGAGTTATAGTTAAAACATTGATTTCGCACGAGTAATACATTCAAAATCGTCGGTCGCTTCAAGCGTTGTTTCTGAGAGAACGGATTATTTTACAGAAAAAGTACGAATAAACATTTTTGTTCCTAATAATTTAAACTACATTTCTTTCAGGTTTTTATTATAAAGCTCAAGGGCAGGAGTGACAAACTTTTTTTTGCATTTTCAAATCTCCGACGACTGTACTGTTTAAATAAAAGTAATTATGAATTCCAAAAATATCAGACAATTGGGAAATTTTCAGTTATTCTTTTTTATTTTATTATATATTACTAAGGCATTGTTCTAAAGCCAATTACTAATTAATTGATATTATTAAGGTATTAACTGAATTTTTAAGCAACTTATCTGATACGTATAATAGTTATAATGTAAAAATTAACTTTACGTTGTTGTACATAAACGAAGGTTCAGCATATTCAATTACAGTTCAATAGCTATTTTATAAGTTTTAAATTATGCCTCACTCATCGTATTGATGTAATTGAATTGAAATTCCTAATTTTTCCAAAGTTTTTTTGTTAAATTTGCACATTATTGTGATAGGTGGTTTCCTATTGTTGCAGGCACAATGATGACGAAAACTTCTGGTCCAATGCCAGTGTAAACGATTGGGTCAAAGAAATGGGAGGTATGCGAGTCATCACCGAGAAGTTCGCCAATATTACCGACAACAGCGTAGTCGGAGTAAGAGCCCCATATCTAAGAGTGGGAGGTAACAACCAATTTACTATGATGGAAGAAGAAGCATTCTTATACGACTCTACTATCACCGCACCCTTAAATAACCCGCCGCTATGGCCATATACTATGTATTTCAGAATGCCACATAGATGTCACGGAAACCTCCAAAATTGCCCAACAAGATCACACGCTGTATGGGAAATGGTACTTAATGAACTAGATAGAAGAGAAGATCCTGAAAATGATGAGTATTTACCAGGTTGTGCCATGGTTGATTCATGTTCTAACATTCTTACTGGAGATCAGTTTTATAACTTTTTAAATCATAATTTCGACAGGCATTACAACGAGAACAGAGCTCCATTGGGTCTTTACTTCCATGCCGCTTGGTTAAAAAATAATCCTGAATTCTTAGACGCTTTTCTGTACTGGATAGATGAAATTCTCTCAAACCATAATGATGTATATTTTGTAACAATGACACAAGTTATTCAATGGATTCAAAATCCTAGAACCATCTCCGAAGCCAAGAACTTCGAACCATGGAGGGAAAAGTGTGTAGTAGAAGGAATCCCAGCCTGTTGGGTACCTCATAGCTGTAAGCTTACTTCTTCCGAAGTACCCGGAGAAACTATAAATCTCCAAACTTGCGTAAGGTGTCCAAATAACTACCCATGGTTAAATGACCCAACCGGTGACGGTGTCTTCTAAGTCAGTTCTAGTTGAATTTGTAGGGTAGTATTTGAAAGCAGAGTTGCCCACAATATTATGGGCAGCTAGTGATCAAACGTTACAATATTTCGTATTTATTTTTTAGCAATGACTGGTATGCGTGATCTTGTTGTTATAATAAAAACTAAGAATTAGACTGTTAAACAGATGCTCGAAGCATAGTGAGTCTCACGTTTTATGTAATATACACTCCTACTAGATATTTTTGTAAAAAATGTATTTTTGTATGTTTTATAGAAACGAAATAAAAATTATTTCAACGGTATTTTTAATTTCCTTTTGTAAATGTTTACCATGAGAAAAATTCTTCCTGAAAACACAAGTTTTGAAAATGGAGCTAAAACATACAATTGAAGGTTGAAAGGGTAAGTGTTAATATTATGCATAGTACTAACTTTAGTGCAAAAATGTTAATAAAATTTTCTTTTAATTAAATAAAAAGAAGTAGATTTATTTTAATCCGTAACTGGTGAGGTCAAATTTTTGTTACGTGTATGGTGAGTTGGGATCATACCGACATAAATTTGTTTTGCAAAATTAGACAGTGATACTTGTTTATAAAAAAAAATGACTTTAATAACTTAAAGACGTTTATTTTGTTATAATAAAAATTTAACAAATATATAAAATACTTATCACGCATAAAAAATTAAACTAAGGAACAGCATCAAAAACTGAGTTATTTTGTAACTAGACTAAACATTATCATGTAACAGAGAAAATGAGGGACAAAAAAAATATTTTTTTTAAAACATAAACTTAAACGTTCAATCTAACCTACTAATACAAAAAAAATAACCAAAAACAAAAAACATCATAAAAACTACAATCCATTTTTATAGGCAATCTTTGCAAATGTGTGTTTCACACATGTGACACATTGGCGCTCTGCAACTAACGCAAACCATCTTCGTTTTTTTTTTATTAAATAATCGTGGACATTTTGAGCACCTTACTCTTTTTTCTAAAACAGCATTTTTCTGTTCAGAAATGTCTGTTTTTAAAATGGGATATTATGTCTTAGTTGCCTTTGAATTTGAGAAATCGTTAATCTTCTCTCCAGATGATCCTGCACAAGCTGCTCAGCCAGAGATTTGATGAATTCATATCTCGACTTTTGAGGGTTTTCAGGTAGGGATGAATATATTATAAACGCATTGATGGAAGAAATATCCAAAATTATATAAGAACAATTAAAAAGACATCTTCGACTTCTACACATTCTGTACATTTTTTATCTAACGCCTCCTTTTGTTTGATTATAAAACTCGATAATTTCGGGTTTGTTTGTTTCATTGTTTACTGCATTACTGTAGGACATTAAAGACATCAAAAGTATCGCTTTTCTTGTTTTAGGTAAATATGAAACTAATGTAACTTTATCGACAAATCCAAATAGAGATGATCCCGTAAGCCTTGTTTTAGTTGGCAAAACAGAAATAGGTATCTCCCCTTTATTTTTTTAACAGTACCTATCCATCCAAAAGTATCCAGTATATATCCATCCAAAAAGTAATGGGTTCGGGCGTCAGTTAGTGCTATAATCTTTAACGTATTTCCCCATATTTTCGGGGTTTTTGAGGCATGTACATGCGAAATAAACACCTTCCCTGAAAACCAATGCGCATTTTATCAATACAATCATACTGCCCTATGCAATAATTTTTTTTTTGCTATTTTCTACAAACCTATTGAAAATTGATGAAATTGGGGCAAAATAACAAATCGATAAACGCTCTCAGTTCAATAAAGCCTAAATCATTTAGATCCGATCTATTACGATCGGTATATTTCATTCTAATCCTGGCAAGTTTTTCATTTTTTCTAAGAACAATCTCTTCTAAAATATCGTTTGTTATTATACATATCTGGAGTTTGTTGCTGCTCATGTGTATCCAAGTCCGAATTAACCTCTGAAGGTGCTGCATTTTACGGAATATTATCTTCAACTTCCAATAGAGGTTCCACGATTTCCGGCTCCCAGTCAATTTCTGAATCAGTTTCGTCTTCGCTGACATAGTCGGGATCATTGTCCGAGTCATCGTTACCGCTTAAATCATTTTCATCCTCGTCTAGAATACTTTAAGCCCATTGTTTAAACCTATGATCATCGGAATTCATTCTATTATATCGTGACAGGTCCATTTTTAACTAAAAATAAAAAAAATATATTAAAAAAAAAAACGTAACCGGTAAGATGGGGTCACAGCGTCCCCATGGCGCAATTATTCTCGTATAATTTGTAAACATTTACCTGATGGACTACACTGACGGAAAGGTACAGAGGCGGTCAAGTAGTCGCGCTAAATAAGCTAGGATGTATGTCACTTTAAAAATCTGTTGGGGCTCGTATGACCCCGCATCACCAGGTACGGGTTAAGTAAAGTTGACTAATAAAGACGGTATTGGCAGAACTTATCTCTTTTAGCCAATTAAACTTCTAGTTTCCTCCTTTATCCATTAAACGCATCTATTTGATTGTCCACCATCGATGGAGAATCAGAATACAACAAAAAGAAACGTGCTCTTAAAAAGGAGTTTTCGCTCACCAATAGTTTAGTGTTGACTGAACAGCATATTATGTTTCTTGTGAACAAGTCATCCAGAAGTAAGTTATTGATGCTGTTAGCTTTAAATATACAGTGCTAGCCAAAAGTCCCTCCCCCTCGTAGCTTTTGAACGGTTGTACTTATAATAGCAAAATTTTTAGAGAGGACATAAACGGACATAGGCTTCTCAACTAGTCATCACAGGTGACGTAATAGTGGTAGATGACGTTAGACAGCCACTGTGGCCGATAATTTTAATTAGGACCTTATGCCGAGTGATATCTCGTTTGAAAAGTAATAAAAATGCCTATTCAGTTGTACTAATTGTGTTTCGGTTTAAGCTGATTTTGATGAATAATTTTAAAAAATACTAAAATTATAGTTTTGCATTTAGTTAATAAGAATTCTAATGTCCGCCTCTACTTATTTGTTAAAAAGTTAATGTTTTTTCAATTCTCTAGTTGTTTTTTACTTTACAAAAGTGTTTATACCTTACATATTTAGTTTAAATATTATTGTTTAATGAGACGTTTAAATATTTACATAGACAGAATGGTACGTACTGTAGTCAATAAAATAGCAGCTGTCATAATAATTGATGAAAGTAGAAACACTTTCCATGCAGCGGAACGTCTTTTCAATTATGGATACCTCGATCGTCCTATAATAAAGACTTACTTGAGGAAGCTTCTTCGGAAGTTTGTAGACACATGTAGTGTTTAAGATGCCAAACGATCTGGTCGACCAACAATTATTGATAACAATAAAATTGACAGAATTGCAGAAAGAGCAGTGAACCCCACTTTTTCTGAAGCCTAAGCCTTATGTATCTCTGAAATAAGTAGAAGGACAGTACACCAAATATTGGCTAAAAACAAATTTCATCCAAACAAATTAAAAATTGTGCAACAACTTCAAAAAGGGAAACAAATCGGACCTGGAAAATTACAGAGGAATTAATTTATTAAACACAACACTAAAATTAACAACCAAACTAACAAATAACTTAATATAATTTACTAAGATGTAAATTGGAGCTGGAAGGTCAGATAACAGAAAAAGTGATGTAGTTTAAATATCTATAATAAAATCACAATCAAGATGCACTAGAATAAACAAACTAAGACACTTAAATGTTAAGAGGAACACTCCCAAATCAGCTATGGGAGTGCATATAGGCATCACATTATCTAGCTATGGAAAGCTCGAAACTGAAGTAAAAAATCAATTGAATAAAGCGAACAGAGACGCAGTTTGCCTGAATGAAACAATATGGAGAAATATCAGGAAAGAAATGGAGAGGAAGGAAAAAAGGATGTTAGAAACAGCAGAGATGAAAACGTTTGGGAAAATTGATGGTAAGACACTATGAGACAGAGCTAGAAGTACGATATATAACGTAAATGCAAGGTGGAGAACAGCAATACCTGAGTAAGTAATAGAAGACTAGAATGGAACGATCATATCAGTCGAAAGATAACAAATAGAGTAGTAAAGACGGCAAGCGACGGTTCCCCAATAGAAAGATGATGCGTAGGAAGACCACGATCGAACGACAACTTACAACTTACTAAAGGCACACTTAAAAACAAAAAGAGTCATGTCATAAAAAGAAGAAGAAGAACTTTCAGATGATAACTTCGACCGATGACTCGGCTCGAAGCGGCTCGCAAGAAACAAACTGGCTTATGCTCGAGGCTCGGCTTGTCAAACGAGCTGAGCCTCGTGCCAAGCCGAGCTAAACTCGAGCTGGTGACTTTCTTTAATGTAGGGGAAGGATACTTTTGGCTAGCACTGTATACGCTAACTAATATAAATATTAGAGGTCCTAATACATGTTTATTTTTTGACTGAAATGTACATATTCATTCTCGCAGGCCTCCAATATAATGAAAATGTACCAAGAGTATCGTTAAAAAATCTTTTACTTTAATTATTTTTTACTTTGATCTATTCTTTCAGTTTTTTACCCAATTACAACAAAACCCATCCTATGAATTTTTGAAAACTTTTTAAAACCGTTTAAAATTAACAATGTTTGTTTGTGAAAATAATATACTCACATCTTTTCAAGCTCTCATTCTATTATACGCATTTTGCTATTTTTAACTCCGTAGATAGAACTTTCTTCATATTTCGCTAGTCATTGATTAACAATTGTAGTGTAGTTAAACTAAAAGTACACCTACTACAAGGACATTCTCCATCGCTGTTCTTCAAACAGCACTAGATAGTGCCTGATATTTCTCATACAATGTCTAAGAACGCACGTCATGTAGAAATAATTTGTAACTTTCTACTTTAATCATCATCCAGCCTCAAGGCTGAACATTGGCCGCTTCCTCATGTTTCCAACCCCGTCTATCTTGCGCCGCTCTTATCCAGTTTTTATTGAGTCTTCTTAAATCGTCAGTCCATCTTGTAGATGGTCGACCGACGCTTCTCTTGTCTTCCCTTAGCCTACATTCCAATAACCTCTTTGTCCATCGCCCATCTGTCATTCTGGCTATATGTCCTGCCCATCTCTATTTTAGTCTGGCTATCTTCTCGATGATGTCAGTCACTCCGGTTCTTCTCCTGTACTTTAAACAAAGTATAAAATAATGTTTTTGTAATTTTAATATGGAAAAAAGCGCAGAAATATTTCAGTAAGTATATCTCAAGAGCCATGCTGAATTTGTCAGGGATTCGTTTATATATTATGATAATACCATTA